TTCTGACAATCATAGAAACCTCTTCTATAGTTTTATTTTAGCAAAACCTCCTCTAAACTTTTAAAGATCTCAACAAATACTCCCTTCTGTCAGTGGTTCAGACAAAATACCAATAAATTACTAAATTGCCCCTGATTAATTGTAGAGAGTCAATAAAATATTTCAAAATGTTGAAATTGCCCTTGCTTCCCCTTCCTCTCACAATAGAAGGGAACAACGTGAAATTCTTCCCCTGATCTCCCTTAACTAGTTTTTCTAGTTGATTTCTTCTTCTTCTTCTTCTTGGGAGCCATGACCACATGGCCACAACTCTCTATAAGAATCATCTGCCACTGTGGCTGCTACGTTTACCCGCCATTACCAACTACTTCAATCACCATGTCCCTTCCTTTCTCCTTATAGAAATTGATCGGACGAGGCTTTTCGGACAAATACATGGTTTATTTGTTCTCTTTCAATTAAGAAACAACAAGAGCGGTTGTACTAGAGTGATATAGTGAAATGAAGTTGTGGGTTTTAAAGATCATAAAAGTGAAAACAAAGACATTGCTTGGATTTAAAGAATAAGCACTTATAAATGAGAGCTTATAAATGAGAACATTGGGGAGAGTGTGGGAACAAGAAAATACTCAAACTTGACAAAGGGAGAGACAAAAATGAGGAACACGAAAATATGTGCTCAGCAAATGAAAATAAGGGGGAATTGAGTCATGAACCCATGTTCTGTCTTCAAAAATTGATGCGGGTATCATAGAAACTCTATTGACAGTGGAAGGTAGTCCTAGAAAAAGAAAGAAGTGGATAGGGTGGAAACATAGATGTGGGTATCATAGAGAAACAGATGACAAATAAAACCCGTATAAGGGATTCTACAATTGGAGCCGCCAGTCATGGGAAAGAAAGAGAGAAATAGAGGCAGAGAGGTCTTTAGAGTGATGAGTTGAGGGAGGAAAAAATGTTTTTCCCCTCTTTTCTTGTTGTATTTGTTTCTGTTTTACATTTTCTTTCAAGGCTTTTCAATTCTCAGTAGAGAGAGATGAAGAAGAAGAAGAAGAAGAAGAAGAAATCAATGAGAAAAATCCATGAGGGGAGATCGGGGGAATGATTTCACGCCGCTCCCTTCTATTGCAAGAGAAAGGGGATGTACTGGCAATTTTGACATTTTGAAATATTTTATTGACTCCCTAACAATTAATCTAGGGCAATTTCATAATTTTATTGGTTTTCCGTTTGAATCACTAGTGGAAGGGAGGTTTTTGTTGAGATTTTTAAAAGTTCAGGGGAGGTTTCTACTAAAGTAAAACTATAGGAGAGGTTTTTATGATTGTCAGAAATGTCAGGGGAGGTTTTTGTATTTTACCCCAAACTTTAAAAAGCACTCACTGTGAAATGGCATTCACTCCAACGAATACAATGAAATTAAATCAGTACGTGGCAGCAATAATAATAATTTAAAAAGCACTAATGGCCTCAATAATATTTCTTGAATTTTCTAAAAACAAAATTTACCCCTTTATATTTAAATTTATTGATAAAAAATGAGGGTAAATAGGGTAATAGGTTCTTAATAGCAAATGAGTTGAAAACAGGTAATTGAAAGATATTCAATTCATTCATTTCTCTCTCATTAAATTCAACATTTAAGTTATTAACTTGCATTCATGTTCATTGAATCATATATTTAAGTCATTTTTGTTTCTTCTCATCATTAAGTTCTATTAATTAAATCCATTCTTAATAAATTAATAATTCCAATAACATAAAAGCTTATACTTTTAAAATCTACCTAGGAAAATCAGTGTTTTCATCTAGGTGGTGGTAAGAATTTAAATCATTTTGGGTCAAATGGGTTAATCCATGTTGCCACGACTAAACAATAAAATTAAAAAATAGATAAAATGAAAAAATAGATATTAAGAAAATTGAGAACATTTTTAGCATACATATTAATCAATAATAAGTATGATAAATAAGAAATGATTTTATTAATGATGGAAATGGAATATAAAATTTAAAACCAAATGGAAATAAAAACATTTTCTTATTCTCTCTCATTAAATCCTTTATTTAAGATATATTTTTTTCATCCTTAAATTCTTAATATTAAATCCATAATATTATTTTTAATAGTAAAAAAATAAATATTTTGAAAAGTAATTTGAAAACAAAACCATTTTCTTCCCTCCCAGTGGTGGGCAGCAATTTGACCATTTAGGGTCAAATGGAATAATAAATAAAGCCATAGTTAAATAATAAAAAGTTAAAATAAATAACTGTGAAATGTAAGAAGTATTTTTATTAATGATGAAAAATGGATTGCCAAATTCAAAATTTACCTAGAAATTAAATGATGTCATAGTCAAATAATACATTTTTAATAATAGAAAATACAAAGTATCACAAAAAATAAATAAAAAAAAAGATATAGAAAATTTTAGGCACATATCTGTTGTTATATATTTATAAAAACTAAAATATTGGGTGCACCTCTAATATTGTGCATTCATTATATTGAACAAAAATAAATTTTATACATAAGAAATAATTTTATCAATGATGGAAATGTAATTCAAAATTTAATGTCAACCTAGAAATCAAACAATTTTTATTTTTAGATGGTAGGTTAGTGGTTTGATTCAAATGATACCATAAACAAACAAAAATTAAGTGTTATAAGTAAAAAATATTGTGTATAATGTAAATGAAATATATAATTTAAAGGGAAAATTATAATCAAAGTCAGTTGTATATTTAAAATTAGGTTGCAGGTTGTTCTAGAAACTAACAAAAGTCTAACAATTGGCTCTACATTTCAAATTAGAAAAACCCTGCCATGTCATCAGAGGTTTATGTGGTTGTTGCCAACATGGGACTCTTAGTCCATGTTGGACACAACAAAAAACCTATATTGGAAATAGGTTCCTCCCTCAATCTTTCTCATTCTTCTCCCTCACTCTCCCTCTCGGTCAATATCTCATTTTCCCTCATTCTCTATCATTCTCTAGTTGGTGTAAATTTCATAGCCAAGAGTTTCTTGTGAATTTTTTTATCAAATTGGTGTAATAATTTTTGAACCATACCAAGTTGGTCTCATATTCTTTTATATGATTTGATTAACACCATATAAGTGTGTAAGCAAAAAACCGAGAGAGGGAGCGGGAGAGAAGATTGAGGGAGAATGATAGGTAAAGAGAAATTGATATAGAGAACGTAAATACAAAAACCAAAAACCATTTTTATTTATTTTCAAATC